AAACACGAGCCAAGCTCTACAGCTGCCAATAACCACCTGACAATACACACACGCATCCAAGTTATCAGAATATGCCTCCTTATATACTCAATTTGTACACTTCCACTTGCAGGATTTGTTTGAAGAGTTATCACAGGAGTGAGGTGTACCAGAAATCAGGAGAATAAGCCAAAGAGGTATCGTTTTGCTCAGACCAAACTTCCCTCAGCATCCACTGCTAAACGCTCTGCCAACCTGAGGTATTTGTAAGAACTAACTACTTTTTTATGCCCTAATACTCACCTCACTTGTGAAATTGGCTTGAACTGCCTTTAGGCACCTGGCAGCGTTAACTTAGTCCAAAATAACTCTGCTTTTACTAACTGAACTCCTTGAACAGATTGAAGGTAAAGCAAGAGCAGGGCACCGGGCAGCCGGGAAGCAGAAGCTCTGTGAGGTCAGTGCTGCTGCTGACAGGCCATGGCAGACTCCAAACATCTTGTTTGGAGCTGGGTGGGAAAGCCTGCCAGCTCCTGGGTGTCCTGGATGCCTGGAGCTGAGCCACCTGGCTCCTGCAGGAGCGCGCAGGCTGCTCCGCTGGGAGCAGAGCGTGGACAGACAGACAGACAGACAGACAGCACCCTGCTCAGGGGCTGCCAGCACCCCCAGGGATGGCACAGCACCCCAGAGCTCATGGCAGACGCGAGTGCCATCCCCTCCTGCAGCTCAGTCTGAGTTTCCTACCAATGGAACCGGACCATGACCTGGCACTGGGAGTCCAGCCTCTGCATGCCACCCCAAGAAAGCTGCCTGCTGAGTTTGGGGTGCACAGAGCTGTGTCAGTGCAGGGACAGCCAGACCAGCATGGCACCAAAAGGAGCAGCAAAGCCAGAGCTCAGTTCCACAGATGTGCTCCTTTCCTGCCTGCAGAGCTTGCCCTGCCTTCCCTACAAGCCATGAGAAATTCTGGAGGCTGTTTCTCAGATTCGTGACATAATCCAGTACTCTTTGTGCAAATCTACTGCCTTGGTATAATTTTTTTAACCTTTGGAAGACTAATTCCAGTAAGCCTTCTCCTGCTAGAAGTGTATTTAATTAATTCATGCTATTGTTAGTTTTTTCTAAGTAGCTCATTGTGATGGTTTTGGGTGTACTTCTATCAGGAGTTCATAAAAGTCTTAACATGATCAGAAAATTTCAGCTGAAGCTTTCACACCTTCCACCCTTTAAAAAAATAGTGGGTTTTGTCATTTTCCATTAGGCTTTCCCCTGTGCATGCAGCCTGCCCGTCTGCAGGGACCAGTCCAGTGGCTCACACAGGAAGACTTGCACTAAGTCCTGTATTCCCCCTACCCAAACTGCTTTGTTGTGCATTCCCACTTACAACTCTGCAATTGATATCCACTGCTTGTTCCAACTCTCCACCATTCACAAGCTACATCTTACCAAACTTCATATTTCATCAAAATGTAATGAAGGCGTCAGGGAGGGCAAAGAGGCACCTGAGGTGCTGCTCGTGCCAAAGCACTGGCTTTCGAGGAAATCCCAGCCCAAAGCCAGCTTACAGCCCCCCTTCTGCCCCTCTGCAGCAAGTGTCACCTCCAGGCATGACCAGTGACAGGGTGACAGCACACAGCACGTGGCTCTGCAGTCACTAGCTCCCTGCCTTCCAGCTCTTACAGGAAAAAACAACATTAAAGCTTGCAACCAATTCTGCACCTCCCTCCATGCAACTGAACCAGACATCACAGAGCTGCACCTCTACTGCAGGGGGTTTTTTTAAAGCACAAAACCGTGCCTGAATTTCCTTTAAGAACAGAATAGCCAAAGTGAATTCCTGAACCTCACATGAGAATGTTTTAAACCACTGATTTGTAACAACAATTTCTAAAGAACATTTCTAAATCACTTGCAGCTGCACTCAGGATTACAGACTAATATATTTTTATCAGATGGTGGTTGTCCTTGCTCCTTGTGCTCTGCTTCCTGGCAAACTGCTGAGTGCCTGACCCAGCCCCTAACAGGCGGCAAAAGCAGGAGGAGAGCTGGCTGAAGTGATGGCAACAAGGGATGCCTCAGTTTGGCAGGACAGCCAATCAATACCAGTCACTATCTGGAGAATTTAGAAAAAAAAAGAAATTTATTTCTTGGGTCACTAACTGGAGATACAGCACTGCATCCACAAGGGGTGATGGATTATATGCAGAACATCTGGCCCACAGGAATTTGGGCATATCTGTACATTTAATAAACAGATTTACATTTTACTTGCCCCAAAAAAAGAACCTCCCAAAATGGACAAATTTGAACATGGAAAACAAATTCAACACAAAAATCATGGAAGTGATAAAGTCTCTGGCAGCATTTGTATTCTCTATTTAGAAAGGTCTTTCTACAAAAAAAAGCAGCCCAAGAATTACAAGTTCCATGGGCAATCAGTGCAAGTTCTGGAGTCACGTGGTTAACTCTAACAGCAAAATTGCCACACAATCTTTAATTAGCTTTGTTTTCAAATTGTGATTGTTGCCATCCCTAACATTAAATCTTTCACTCAATCGGTTTAATCCTCCAGTCCTCTTTCCTGAGTCCAACTAAACTTTTCTGTTCTGGAAAAGTCATATGCAAGCCTTTACAAAATCCATATTCAATGTGTGATGGATTAGCCCGGTCTCTCAGAAACGGTCAGACTGAACAGTGCCCTTCTCTTTCCTGACACAGAGCAGAACAGAGGTCAGGGATTAGTCACCGAGGAAAGGCAAGGCACGGCCAGGACAAAGAGGAGACAGTGATTTTCTGTATTAATGCCCCAGTCAGGAACATCCAGCTGCCAGTCTGATACAGCCACTTGTCCCCGGGTTTGTGAGGAAGCCAGACACCTGAGAAACAACCACGGAGTATAAAATGCCTGTAAGAATTGCACTGCAAAAGAAAGGATGTCCTGGTAAAGTTGCCTGGCTGACTCCTGAATAAACCTCTAAGAAAATCCAGCAAAACACTTGGCATGGAATAGGCTGGACAGCAACTTCATGGTGTCCTCCTACTCTAGAGAGCTGATCTTTCACAAAATAGACCAAAAATTGACAGCAGTAGCAAGTTTGCACCATCACAATAATCTATGTGCAATTTGAAGGCTGTTTCAAGGCAACAGTTGTCCATCAAGCAGGTTTAGATGTGCAGTTTGGAAAGAGAGGATGTAAAAGATGGTAATGAGTAAATATGTCCCTAACTGAAGCCCAGAATCTAGCTATGTATTTGTACTCTTACTGGGAAATTAAATTTGGGCAGTTATTAGCAAATAAATAGTGTATTTTTTATATTTAATTCCAATTTCAAGGCAAAATGTAACTGGAGGAGAAAGGCCACAAATCAAAACAAAAAAATCAAGAAGTCACAAAGCCTGGAAATAGTTCTGGTATTCCCACAGGAAAATGAAACTTTAGTGGTAGTTTTGCAAAAGCAGGTGCTGAATGATTCCTGGAGCTTTCCTGCTCTGTGCAAATCCAGGCTGCTCAGGAGTTACCTGAAGCAAGATGCCCTCAGGAATATATCCTTCACTCATGGAGAACTGACTTTTAGTCACACAGTGACAGGTCCGAGAGAAAAGAACCATTCAAAAAACATACAAGCTACTTAAATACATTTCTACAAGATTTCTGGCAACTTCAGAGCAAGCTACAAACGCACAGAGGGGAGAAAAGGGAAGAAAACAACTGAGTGAGCCCAGTTTCTTGAGCAGTTTCCAGTCCATCCCTCCAATAGCCATTATTTTAAATGGAATGCCAAACAAGTGGCATGAAAATGAAAACACTGTCAACACAATGCCCCCGTAGCAGGCAGCAAGGAAAAATATTTACTGCATCCAGTAACAAAAATAAAATCCCAAACCCAAGCTGAGCACACACGGCCCTGCAAGTTAATTCACACTTTAGAAAGGAGCGCTGCCAGCCTGGGCAGCTGGAACACAGAAAATTTAGGGGCAAAAAAAGAACTTTCTCATCAGAGTCAAGCAAAACTCCACCCAGGTTCTGCACTCCACAGAAAACACTTTTCCCAGTTACGACATTTCTTGTTTTCTACTCTGTCCAAAACACGAAGCGCCTGGAAAGTTTCAGAGAAATGTGAAGGTGTGCCCTTTTTCCCTGCTTAATATCCCTATTTATAGCTCCCAAACGTTAACAAGTGGGAATCAAATCTCTCCACAGCTGCAGGAACCCTTTAAACTGCACTTTTCAATGCAGCACAAATGACAGAGCTGCACTCTCTGTGCGTCAGAGCGAAACTTGACAAGCCTGACAGACTCCACTGGTGTTTCTTTTTTTCCTCTCCCTGTATCGTATCACTGTTGTTACCTTTTATCCTAAGCCCAGGACTGTAGACAGTTATCCTAAGCCCAGAACCGTGCCCAGTTTGGGCTCCTCAGGACAGGAAAGTCAAGGAGCTCCTGGAGAGGGTCCAGCAGAGGCCACAGAGGTCATTTTGGGATGGAGCATCCCTGAGGTGAGGACAGACTGTGGGAGCCGGGCCTGGCCAGGCTGGAGAAGGGAAGGCTGAGAGGGGACCCCACCAACCCCTCCAGATCTGCCCAGGGGCTGCCAGAGGCCAGTGCCAGGACAAGGAGCACCGGCCAGGAGCTGAACCACAGCGAGTGCCACCCAACACGGGGAAGAACTTCTTTCCCTGGAGGGGCAGAGCCCTGGAGCAGCTGCCCCGGGAGGGGCTGGGGTCTCCCTCTGCAGAGCCATTGCAAACGCTGCTGGCCACGTTCCCGTGTCCCTGCTGCAGGTGGCCCTGCCTGGGCAGGGGCTGGGCTGGGTGATCTCCAGAGATGCCTTCCAACCTCAACTACCCAGGGACTCAGAGATTCACACTAAAGACGCGGAGGAAGGCGCCGTGACTGCTCGGCGATGCCCTACGGGTGGGAGCTCGCTTAGTCATGGCCCACACCCCCCGGCACGGCCGGGGATGCTGCGGCGCTGCCCCGCGGCCGCCGGGAGGGCTCAGCGTGCAGGGGCTCCCCTCACCTTCCGCCACGTCCTCGTCGATCGCCCCCTTCACCTGCAAGAAGGACCACTGCACCTCGTTGTTGCTGCCACCGCCGTCGCCTCCAGCTCTCGCCACTACTGCGGAGGGAGAAAGGGCGGTGAGAGAGGGAGGGAGAGAGGGGACCTCGCGCCGAGCCCGGCCCGGAGCCCTCGGGGCCGCCGCGCTCCCGCATCACCCGCCGCTGCCGCCCGGCGCGGCCCGGCCTGCGGCCGGCTCCCACGGCCACACGGAGCCGAGCCGCGGCCCATCCCGGCGCGAACGCGGAGCCGAGCGCGGAGCCGAGCGCGGGGCGCGGACACAGACCTGCCATGGCGGGGGGAGCCGCGGGAGCGGAGCCGGGAGCGGGGCCGGGAGCGGGACAGAGCCGCCCGGAGCCGCGGGAGGGTTCGCGGTTTCAAAATGGCGCCCATTGCCGGGCGGCCCGGCCGTGACGTCACCGCCGGCTCCCCTCAGGGAGGGCGGGCCGGCCGGCGAGCGGGGCGGTGATCGCGGCACGGCCGCTACCGGTACCAGTACCGGCACCAGCGCCGCTACCGGTACCGGCCGCGGCACGGCCCGGCGGGGCGAGCAGGGCGGCGGAGCGGGAGCGTGAGCAGCAGGAGGAAGATGAAGTGGTCTTGGTGCTGTGGAGGCGCTCCCCAGGCGGCAGCGGGGGCTCCACGCGCGCTGCTCCAAACGCGGCTTTACGTGAAGGGACGGGGCGGGACCGCCACGGCGGGGAGATATCGCTGTGCCTCCTGATTTATTCCTGCTCGCTCCCTGAAGGGTTAATTGTGATGAGGGGAAAAAAAAAAAAAAACCACAACAAAAGCAATAAAAAACCCCAAACGTGCCTCTGACTCGTTTTCTCCTTCAGCGAGCGCCAGAGCCGGGATGAGGGGAGGGAGGGTGGCGGGGGCTCAGGGAGTCAGCGCTGCTCCGGGATTTAGCACAGATTTATCACACAATCCCAGAGCCACTGAGGCTGGAAAAGCCTCCAGGATCACCGAGTCCCAGCTGTGCCCGGTGCCCACCTTGTCCCCAGCCCAGAGCTCTGGGTGCCACCTCCAGGGATTCCCTGGACACCTGCAGGGATGGGCACTGAACCCTCCCTGGGCAGTGCCAAGGCCTGAGCACCCTCTCAGTGACAGCGTTTCCTAAGCCCGGCTCAGCTCTGGTGTCTCAGTGACAGCGTTTCCTAAGCCTGGCTCAGCTCTGGTGTCTCTGACAGCATTGCCTAAGCCCGGCTCAGCTCTGGTGTCTCAGTGACAGCGTTTCCTAAGCCTGGCTCAGCTCTGGTGTCTCAGTGGCAGCATTTCCCAAGCCTGGCTCTGCTTCTTTTCCAAGCACAGATACTGGAAGTTGTCAAGATGCAATTTCTGCCCCTAAGTCCGGGAGAGCAGAAAGAAATGATAGTGAATTCTCTGTTTGCCCCCAAACCCCTCTGTTAATGTATTCCTGGTCCCTAAGTCCCTTGGAAAGTGGTACAACTTAAAGAACTCTAAGTGCTAGGAAAGGTGACAGGTCGGCATTGTTGTGTCTTAGTCTGAGGTGGTTTCCTAAATCCTCATGGTTGTAAGAAACACAAGGAAAGTGGTTGGTAAACAGACGTGGTTAATTGTGATCTTGAGCCCAGATGAGTGAAGAACTTACAGAGTAAGAGTCTTGTTAAGGACAAGTAAATCTCTCTGGTGGGAGTCTTTATTTTACTGAATGAAATTTTACCTGGAGGTTCTCTGGGATTTTCCTGTGGAAGGACTAAAGTATAACACTTGCCTGAGTTTAGGATGGTTCCTCTCAAAACATTTCTGCTCTGGGCTTGCATCCTGTTCTTGGTAATTTAGATACAGAAATGCGTTTGACTCAAGATTTAATTTCTTGCTATGACATCTGTACCCATTTATAAAATCATTACTTGATTTGTGTTTATTCCTTATGCCGTGTGTTGTGTATCAAGTGTTTAAATAAAATAATTTTTTACTTAGTCTCTTGGCTGCCTCCTCTGTAACTGTAGGAAAGTCATCCTGAAGGGCAAAGAATGCCTTTAAACCTTGCCCTTTGGCAGTGGGAAGTCCTTTCCCGTGCCCTGGCACTCCAGGCCCTTGTAAATAATCTCTCTCTGGTTTCTTGTTGGCTCCTTCAGGTGCTGTGGGGCCACTCTGAGGTCACCCCAACCTTCCCCTGTCCAGGTGAGCCCCCCAGGTGTCCCAGCAGAGCTGCTCCATCCCCTGAGCATTTGGTGCCTCCTCTGGATTCTGCAGCAGCTCCGGGTCCCTCCTGGGCTGGGCTCTGCAGGTGGGGCTCACCTGGGCACACAATTCCCCTTTCCTGCTGCCAGGCTGGGCACAGGGGTGGTTCTGGGGAGGGGGTGCTGGCAAAGCTGTCCCTGCTCAGCTCGGGGTGTGCGTGGGGCCCGGGCAGAGGTGTTGCACAAGCTGGGGACGGGGCTGGCTCTGGTGCTGTTGCAGAATTCCCAGAAGCAAGGCACAGGGTGTCAGCAGCGGCTGTTCCCAGTCACTGGGTCACTGCTGTGTACTCAGGGCTTGCGCTCACAGGAAGGTGACGTTCTGCCCTGGCCTCTCTGAGCAAGAAAAGCTCCTGAGAGCAAAGTTTCCAAATGTGCTCTGGAAATAGATCCTGCTGGCCAGCTGCTCCGTGCCCCCGCGTGTGCCGCGGAGGTGCTGCCAGCGCTGCAGCCCTGTCCCTCAGCCCGTTTTCCATCCTCTGGGTAGGAATAACAGAGCTCTGCTGCTAATCTGAAAACAGAGGCTGCTGCAAGGGTAATTTCAAAAAGCACGGGACAAGCCATGGAAAGAGTGTTTATCCTAAAGGGAAGTACAGCTGGTGGGCACACGGAGTCAGATTTCAGTAAGAGATAGAAACCACACGCACATCACGTGCTCATTGACAGCAAAACACCTGATTATTCTTAGGTGAGAAGCGCAACAGATTTTTTTCCCATGGGATTTTTGTCAGTGTTCCAAAGTTTGGAGGAAAGCTGTGGTTTGGCAGCTGGTGGGTTGCCTTATGAGCCCTGTGTTTAGTAATTTTGCCTGTGTTTTTTACTCTGTATTTACCCCTATGGTACACGAAGATCCCCTGGGCTTCAGTCCTGGTTAACCTCTGGTGGCTCCTACCCAGTCCCTGCTCCCACAGCTGAGCACAGACGCCTCTGTTGGAAATGCTGCTGTTGGATGGGGTGTGCATGGCATTGACACTTTTCCTGCTCCAAAGAGCCCTTGTGCCCAAGCCCCTCAGGGCAGTCCCTTCGTCCCCCCCAGGCGAACGTCCCAGACCTCGTGGCTCAGCTTTGGTTCAGCGCTTCCCTCCCTGCTGTCCCAGGCAGGGCCGTCACCTCCCTGGCTGTCACAGCCTGTCCTGCAGGGCTCCTGCGGCTGCAGAGAGTGTCCCTGTGCCCTGGCAGCAGCTGAGCCCGGCCCTGCAGAGGGCAGCTCTTCCAGGAAGGGGCAGCACAGCCTTTTCCTGGCGCTGTGTGTGTGTCCTGGCTGGCTGGGAGGGGATGGAAGGGACAGGCCGTGTGCTGTGCTCTCTATTTCTGGCTGCAGAGGCACGGTGTGCCCTGTGAGTCACTGCTCTGTCCTGCTCACCCTCAGGTAGCGTTCCCAGGTGTTCCCAGGGCTGTCAGAGAGGCCGGGGTGTGAGGAGCAGGGAGGGATCTCAGAGCCCTTCTCAGCTGCTGACAGCCCTGAAGAGCCTTGGCAACGTCAGCTTTCGACATCTGAAAGCAGTGATGGGTTTTTTCCCCCAGAATAGAAACAAAAGAACCTCTTTGATAGCTGAATCACCTCCTGACTGAAGAAAGTGTCTGTTCTATTGTGTTCTTCGTGCTGTGATCCAGTAATTGCTCTCTGGCTTTATAAGGAAAGATCTAGAGCTAACCCAAGGCTTCAGGCAGCTTCTCCACACTCTGGGAGCTCTTCTGCAGGAACCACTGTTGGAGTCGTGTCAGAAATGCTGCTGCCTGCAGAGGGTCCTGGCAATGGGTGCTCCGTGCCCCGTGCACTGGTGTGCATTTGGAGAAGGCTTTGCCTGCTCCTGGGGCCCAAGCCAGGGATCACATCTCTCTGGTGCCTGACTCACTGCTCCATGGAGCAGGAGCTGGGGGAAGCTGAGGGTGACTTTGGAGATCACCCCCTGGTTATTTGCCTGAGAGCTGGGAATTCCATCCTGTTTCCAGTCAGATTTGTGGCAGCCGCAGCCCTTCAGGTTATCACTGCCTTTGACACGAGTGGTTGGTTGCTCTGCCCAGTCCCTGCCAGTTTGCTTCAGGGCACTGCAGAGGTCCTGGGCGCTTCATCCCAATGGGAATTGCTGTTGGAAGGAGCCAGGTGTACCACTGTAGCCTTCCAGGTTAAATTCAGGGCCAAATGTTTGTCACCTTGTTACTGTAATGAAAACCAAATAAATCTCTGCCTTGGCACGTGCTGCGTTGTCTGATGTTGGTCTCTCCCAATGTCTTCCAGCTTCCCCAACACAAAGTGTCTGTTCCCTGGGCAGGCTTTGCTCTGGGGACATGGGTGTTGCTTCTCTGTGCCATGCTGTCCATCCAGAGAGGGCCCTTTGTGCTGCTTTCACACCTCAGCAGCAATGAACTGTGAACGTCCTCCCAAAATATCCATTTCCAAGTTACCTTTGAAGGGAGCTTGTATTATAAATAAATGGAATTGCTCATCCCTCTGCTTCTCTCAGATTAAAGTGGAATTATCTTGATCTCAGGAGTCAGAGAAGACACCTGTCAGGCACAGCATGGGTGAGTCATATCTGTGACAGCAAGATTTCTCTCAGTGACACTTCCTTAAATGTCAAAATCTCATTCCCATTCCGCTGTAGCTGCTCCGCTCTCCACTTCAATTAAAACCTTCGGAGTAATTCCAAGCATTCATGGGTTTGCCCAGCCTCACCCAGGTTTTAATTGCTACCTGCGCGTTTTCCTCGGAGAAGAGAAGTTGGGAGCGTGTCCCGGCGGAGCCGTGAGTCACTGCCTGGCAAGGCGCGGCTGCAGTGCTGCCCTCCTGGGCGTCAGTGCGTCCCCAGGGGCACTGCCAGCGCGGACAGCAGCGCTGCTCAAGCACTCCTTCCTGTGGAGCTGGTGGGGATGCTCACGGCAGGGGGAAAGGAAAAGCACTTCACTTTGAAAAGGAAAAGTTTGAATTCCACTGTGAACGCTCCTGTTGGGGAAACAGCCATTTATTTCATAGAATCAGGGAACATCCTGAGCTGGGACCCAAGGATCATTGAGTGCAGCCCCTGTCCCTGCACAGACACCCCAAAATCCCACCCTGGCATCCCTGCAGTGCTGTCCAAGCTCTGCTGGAGCGCTGGCAGCCGCGGGGCTGTGCCCATTCCCTGCCCTGGCCCAGTCCAGCCCTTCCCTGGCTCCTGTCCCTGTCCCAGGGAGCAGAGATCGGAGCTGCCCCTC